TTTCATGAAGCTGCTTCTTATTTGACAACCACCTGCGTGTGTCTTGCACGACTCTAAATAAGACATGGTGATTTGTGTACTGATATATGCGAATAGCAGCAAATAATAAACATGGTATAATTGGTTGTTGAAAGTCGAGTCAAACTTTAACTGTTTTCGAGACTAAAAGAAACATCGACCCATGACAATTCTATCGTGCCTAAAAGCTTGGAAATAGGGGGACGTCGATTTAGCCAAAAGCTTGGAATTTGGAAATCGGGTGGACGTCGTTTTGGCCAAAAGCTTGGAATTAAGTGGATTATTCCTTTCATCTCATTAATCACACAATTCATGTATATCTTATTAGTTATTTGATCATGGATTTTAGGAAGTTAACACCTTTTTGATTCCTTATTTGTTCGTAATTAAACACATGTGAGAGTGAGAGTTTAGAAGTAGTTTAGGGGTATTCGTTTTTACTTGTAAGTAATAGATTTCAGTTTCAAATCTCGAAAATAAACACATGACATATGTTTCTCTACTGACTTTAAAGGCAGGTTTTTCTTTCAAATATAACTACTTCCAATTGTAATAAAGCACATCTAATCTAACAATTTTATTGTTTGAAAAAAATAGTTATCAAAAAACACTTTTTGTTGTGCCCCTCATGTTACAATATGAGTATTTATTTATTAGACTATATGCTTAATCATGACACATCAACTTAGGGCCCAAAAGAGAAAATAAATAACTATAAGAACCACCGCCACCAAATCGAACATAACTTATCGCCTTACCCCCAAGATTTATCCTGTTTATTTGCCACCCTGTAATTAAGGTTTTGAGCTACTTTACTCCTTGTACCATGTAAATGCATATTGGTGTAAGAGATTCAACTTTACAAACATAGGGTCTCATGGCTTGTAGCTTAGTTGGTTAAGAAATTCAATTTACATTTGATATCATAAGTTCGAATACCCTCTCTACAATATCACTTTTATAAATAAATAAATAAAAATTCATATTCTCCAATCTCTATTTTGTATATAAGATCAATGAATTATGAACAGCTCAACTAATCTGCTGGTTGCAATATCACTTCTATAGGGCACACTACTTAACTATGAAATGGATTCATGAAAAAATCGCAGAAAAAAACTTAGCGAGTTCCTTTATGTTGAATTTAATGGATTGCGATATTTGATGTTTCGAACTTTAGTATTTCATGAAGCTCTTTCTTATTTGATAATCACCCGCGTGTGTTTTGTATGACTCTAAATTAAATATGGTGATTTGTCTTCTGATATATACATGTATCAGCAAACAATAATCACGGTATAATTGGTTGTTGAAAGTCGAGTCAAATTTAGATTGTTTTCGTGTCTAAAAGAAACATTGACCATGATATTCAATCGTGCCTAAAAGCTTGGAAAAAGGGTGGACGTTGTTTTCGCCAAAACCTTGGAATTAAGTGGATTATGCCTTTCCCCTCATTTCATGTATTTCTTATTTAGTTATTTGATCATGGTTTTTAGGAAGTTAACAACTTTGTGATTCCTTAGTTGTTAGTAATTAAACGCATGTGAGAGTTTAGAAGTGAACTGATTTTCATTCCTACGTTTTTATAAATGTAAGGAACTCAAGAAACAAAATGAAATCAATTTATATTCCTTGTAAATAAACATGCTCTAAGGAAGAAGGATTCGAAATTGAGTGCAGAGAGTTAACACACCCATGTTTGCATAATACACACACACACACACACACACACACACATATGTCTCTAAAGTTTCAGTATGAGAATATTTTTGCTCACCACTCTCAAGTGATAGCGATGCTCACATATATGAGTTTAAATTTTGAGATCTATAATGAATAGACACAAATCTCAAAATTCACATCCAACGATGTTAGATAGGTAGTTAGTATTATCACTACTTGAAGATTGTGAATTTATGCATCCGTTTCATTGTTGTAGTTTATGCCGCATGGAAAATGGAGATAGAGTGAAATAATAAAATATTAAGAAATGATAGCTTCCTATTGTGACTCTTATGACAATCATCTAACATCATTAGAACCAAATCAATTTCTTTCAACCTCAACTCCTTCATGGGCCTGTAGGCCTGCATGAACTTTTCTTCTTTGTGCCTGGCGGGCCTTAAGAAGCCCCCAACTTATAGGCCTCAACTACTATGAATCTATTCATCCGGTTCTATGAAACTTGGGCCTAAAACATGTGTTAGGGATGGTGGACCGATTTAATTTTTTTATTTTTTTGGAAACAAAGTGGACCGATTTAATTATATCGTTTTTTTTATGCTTAAATCCATAGTTTACTAACCACAGTAACTTACGGTTGATTTGGGGTTTCTAATTAATGCTACGGTTTGGTTTAGTAATATTCATTTTTACTATGATAGATTTTAAGTTTAAATCTCGTAATAAGCAAGTGACATGTGTTTAGTTATCAAAAATTGGTTGTTCCACTCATGTTATGGTAGAAGTATTTATTTATTAGACTATACTTAGTCCATGACATATCAACTTAGGGCCCAACAGAGAAAATAGATAACTATAAGAAATCTCCCCAATCAAACATAACTTATCAGTTTACCATCTAATTCTAAATGCATATTGGTGTAAGAGATTCAACTTATAGAGTTGAGGTCCACGACAAATATCTGGGGTCACCCGTGTTCATACAAAAGTAAAAAAAAACGACATTTGCTTATGTGAAGGAAAATGTGTGGATAAAGTTGAATGGATGGAGAGGAGGATTATTAAGCAATGCAGGGCGAGAAATACTAGTTAAGACCATTGCCAAAGCACTGCCGGTGTACTCTATGCAATGTTTCCTTCTTCCAAAATCTCTTTGTGAAGATTTAAATAAATTGGTTGCTCGGTTTTGGTGGCATGATGATTCAGGGAGGAGGAAGGTTCAATGGACTAACCGGCAGACGCTTTGCAAGCCTAAATCTGAAGGCGGATTGCGTTTCAGGGACTTATATGCCTTTAATAGTGCATTATTAGCTAAACAAGCTTGGAGATTCACTTCTAAGATTGATTCTCTTGCATATAGAGTGTTTAAGGCACGATACTTTTCAGATATAGATTTTTTGGATGCCCGAGTGACTACGAACGCTTCTTATTGCTGGCGTAGCATTGCAACAATAAGGAAGGTGATCTCCAAAGGTGTGCCCTGGCAAGTCAATGATAGGGTGTTGGTAAGGGTATGGAAATATGGTTGGTTGCCTCGAGATAATTTCTTCAAGGTTATAAGTCCTATACCTGGGGGCTGGAGCGACGAGACTACAGTGAACCAGTTATTTATGGAGAATTAACGGTCATAGGATAATCAGTTAGTAGAACGAATTTTCTGTCTGGAGGAGGTTGCGTTTCTGCTAAGTATTCCGTTAGGTGTTCCTAATGTGAATGACAAACTTGTATGGCATTGGGAAAAGAATGATAAGTTCTCAGTTAGGAGTGCCTATCATGAAGAAGGATTGTGAAATCATGGGGATTACATCGGAGTCCTCAGGTGCGGAGGAGGGAGACCTGGTATTATGGAAGAAGCTCTGAGTGCAAGTGTGCCATCAAAGGGGAAAATATATGTGTGAAGGGGTTGCTTGGACGTGCTATCCACGCGCTGAAAGCTTAAACGACGAAGAATCATCAATAAGGAGAAATGTTTGGTGTGTGGAGGACACTCGGAGTCAGTCGAACATGTCGTCAGGGATTGCCCTCTAACAGTTGCAGTTTGGTTTGCAGCCCTGGGCCTACATGTGCATCAAGTTCATGAACTCAGTTTGAAGGCATGGGTGTCACGGACGGCTTTGACCCTCCCCCCACAAGGCTTCGAGCTACTGTTGATGGTTTTTTGGAGCTTGTGGAAGGTGCAGAACGACCTGATATGGAGAGGAGTTAAGAGTGCACTAAGGGAGGTAGTGCTGCGAGCGGATGAGTTGATGGTTGCTTTCCAACAGTTCATAAACAACCAAAGGTATCGCGGTCCTGTGACCGACAAAAATGGAGTCCTCCACCCTTGGAGTGGTTAAAGTGTAATTTCGATGGTGCTTGGTCAAAAAACTCGAGCATGGGTGGGGTTGGAGTCGTCATTCGGGATCACAACGGAAATTTTTTAGCTGGGCTCTCAGCTTCTGTTGATCACGCTACATCTCCTCTTCAGGTGGAATTCTTAGCAGCTAGAAGGGCTGTATTGTTCGTGTTGGAACTATTTCCAAATGAGAGGCCTTTTTGTTTTGAAAGAGATTCTGCAATAGCTTTGGCAGCTATGCAACGTTGGGGTGTAGATACATCAAACATGGGGCCCTTAATTAATGTCTATTGGATATACATGTGCCACATAAGGCAATTGCCACGTTAGCACTAGCTTTAGAGATAAGCTACTTTTGATATGTGGTATAAATAGGCTTTATATTCTTTTCCTTTTCTGTTAAGTCGGTGTATGTAAAAACTGAAGATTAGAGAAATACAATTGAGCTTTCTTTCTTCCTCTACAAGATTACTAGGGTTTATTTTTCTAACAGATCCTTCAGCTCATACAAGAATGTTAAGAATGTCATCAATCACTTTCTAGGTTCCTTTCATCAGACAGTGTTATTGCATGTTCGTCGGGATGCAAATCAGGTAGTGGATAAACTCACGCGTGCTGAACTTGGATGTGTGGCTGAGATGCTTTGGTGTGGATACCCACCAATTTTAGTCCAAGATGCTTTAAGTGAGGATGATTCTTAATTAATTTGTGATGATTGTATTGTTTGGAGGATGATTATATTGTTAATCCGGATTGAAATACCTGGCAAAGTTTTATCGAGGTCCATAGTGCACCCTATCCATCATATTGATGTACATATTTTCTTTATTTCAATAAATATCGTACTTCTCTAAAAAAAAAAAAAAACTTTAGGGGCCTCATAAAAAATTTCCTGAAAATGGCTTGTAATAAGAGATTCAATTTACTTCGGATCTTGAGTTCGAATGTCCTCTCTACAATATCATTTTTATAAGTAAAAAAAAAATCATATTGTCGAGTATAGGGGCAATGAATTATGAACAACTCAACTAATTTGTTGGTTGGAGGAGTCGAACCCAAGACACCGACGTGAAACCAAATGCCGCGACCACCGATGCATCTGACGAACCCTAATCCCTAAACCCCTAAACCCCTCGCCCCCAATTTTTGAACTCGCAGAACCGATAGCTATATATAGTCCCCAAAATCTCAACTTTTACAAAAGAACGATTCTCCAACTTGGACATTTCATCTGCAATGGCTATGGAGCTAGAAGAAGCAGAGGGGAAGACTGTATTGTGCCTTCTGACGGACCCAGATGGGACTCCATTAGGAAGCTCCGTCTACCTTCCTCAGAACACTGAGCCGCAACACCTTCAACAAATCGTCAATCAGCTTCTTAAAAATGTATAATCATTTTTTACTACTTAACAAATTTTGCATCGTTCTGTTGATTTTTTGTACTTCCCCTCATTGAAGTTGCAGAATTTCAATTTGTAATTTAAATTTTGTATGAAAAACTGAAGAAGCATGTCTCTTGGGCTGATGGGATTGTAGCAATTTACGTTTTGATCGCAAAAATATAATTTTGTATGGTACGAATAGTTGAACACAACTAACAATAGTGGGTGTGGACTTTTGAAATTTACAAAATTTTTGTGGGCGTTATTATATATAAATTTGAATCTTTGAATCCCTATATGAGTCTATGTTTTTCCAAATTTAGTATATTTTAGCAAGAAGTGATTTGTGACATTTTTTTTGGATCCTGCTTCATGTGATGTAGTTTTCCATGCTAATATAAGTAATGAAGTCCGTGCTTCGGGTTCGTTCAGGAGGAGAGGCTACCTTATGCTTTCTATATACAAGATCAGGAACTTCTTGAGTCACTTGGAAAATATGCTGAGAAGAAGAAAAGTGAGTTAGATATTGGCAAAATTTTTAGTCAGCATTTCAGCTGCATTGATTGTGTATATCTTAAACAACGGCAACTGAAAGATTTTGGGGCCGCCTTTTCATTTGATACTCTTTTCTGGTGAAAAACCTTGGCAGTTTCGGTGGAGAAGGTACTCAACATAGTTTATCAACCACAAGCTGTTTTCCGAATTCGTCCCGTTCATCGTTGCTCGGCAACAATTGCTGGTAATTTATGCTATCAACCTTTTCTGGATTGGCTCACAGAATGCCAATTTTGGTTACTACTATGCAGTTGAGAATATAATTTTGTTTATTATTGTATCAAAGCTATAGAGGTCGCACTTGGTGCGATGGCAAGTGCCTTCGCCCATGAGCAGTAGGTCTCGGGTTCGAGACTTGGGAGCAGCCTCTCCATAAATGGGGGTAAGGCTAGCCGACATTCACCTCTCCCAGACCCTGCCTAAAGCGGGAGCCTTGTGCACTGGGTACGACCTTTTATTGTATCAAAGCTATGTTTTGTCACTATAGGTCACACAGAAGCTGTACTCTCAGTTGCTTTTAGTCCTGATGGCCAACAGTTGGCTAGCGGTTCTGGTGATACAACTGTCCGACTATGGGACCTTAATACTCAGACGCCATTGCACACATGTACAGGTTCAGAGTCGAAGTTTTATTTCACATTCCTAGTTTTTATACCTTTTGAACATTACATTATGTTTGTACACTATGAAAACTTTGAAATGAAACAGCAGATAAAATTTGCATATGAAAAAGAAGGAAAAGGAATTACAGATGATTTGGATATCTGAGAACACTTTTCTGGATTACAGTAGGGATTAGGGATTGATAATGCAATTACTTATTGTTAGGCTTTGTCACATAGACTGTAGTTCATATCCTTGCTGTGGTGCGCTTCATACTTAGTGAGAATAAAGTTCTTTCAATTTTTTTTTTGCTTTTAAATCTTTTTCCGCTTGACGGTTCACATTGGATTAAAGTTGATTACATTTTATGAGTTATAAGTTTCAAACTTTTTTCCCATAAAAATAATAAATTATAAGTTAAGAGGGTAGTCATTCTCATAATTTGTCGTTCTATTACTTGCACTAACAGTGGACCTTGTTTTATTCAGGACATAAGAATTGGGTCCTATCTATTGCATGGTCACCTGATGGTAAGCATCTTGTTAGTGGCAGCAAGTCTGGAGAACTTCAATGTTGGGATCCACAGACAGGGAAGCCATCAGGCCATTCACTTGTTGTATGTCTCTATACTTCAATCGCTGATCATTATAAACTTCTCTGTTGTTTGTTTCACACTGTAAATCTGTTGCTTGTGATGCATATACGGAGAAACTCTTCTACATTCAGGAACTTGCTATACTTTAATGCTCAAAAGCTGAACTAACAGGAATACATACGTTCTCTTTTTTCTCTGTGCATGTTATTAAGTAATGAGTTCCAATTCCCATAAAGAGTGAAGCAATGAGTGCCAGTATACTTTTTTAATACAGAATAAATACCCTGTAACATATTGTAATTTGTAATTAATGGTTTTATGTGTCATGAATTTTGACATCTTTATAACATGAAAGTTGACATCTTCTGCCTTGGGTTTGGATGATATTTACTATTTGAAATTTAGATTAAATCACGTATAAGGTTGTCTGTATGCCCATTTAGGCTCCATCAAGATGATGCCATGATGACAACTATATGTTCCTGAAAATTGCCTTTTCCTTGACAATCCCTTACTGGGAAGTATGCGTTTTCTATGATAATTGTTTGATGAAAGTATTATTTTATTCATTTGTTAGGGTCACAAGAAATGGATTACTGGAATTTCTTGGGAACCAGTCCACCTTAGCGCTCCGTGTCGACGCTTTGTAAGTGCTAGCAAAGATGGTGATGCACGCATATGGGATGTTACGTTGAGGAAATCTGTTATATGTCTTAGTGGCCACACCCTTGCAGTAACTTGTGTAAAATGGGGTGGAGATGGTGTCATATATACAGGTTATATTATTTTTCCTATTTCTTTCAATAAAACTAAACATTTATTTCTGATAAAAAATAAAAATGAAATATTTGTTAGTTATGTTCAACATGTTTATGTGAATTATATTATATATAGAGACTTTTTGGATAATAATGATGTTCATCAATTTAAATGTTCCACTTACCCATACATCCATTTACACCTTGTTCCCTTGTGTTGTAAGAAGACCTTGAATTTTTTTATAATTCTAGATCTTGTCAATAGCCTTTCTCTAAACCCCTGTACTTAGAAACAAAAGAAAAGTGATTGGATGATCTTGAAAAGATTATTGACATTCTTTATTTGGAAAGGATTGTCGGCCAAGACTTCTAAGATGACAATACAGGTAGCTCTTATATTTTTGATATTATTGAGCTGAAGTTGGCTACAGATTTATAACAACTACCTCTATCTTAACTGTCACAGCTCCCAGGATTGTACTATCAAAGTATGGGAGACCACTCAAGGAAAACTAATTCGTGAACTGAAGGTAAGTATTACATCTAGAGGTCGTGCTAGTCTGGAACCTCTTTTTTTGCATCATTGCTCATTCCCTTTGTAAATATGTAATTTAGTTATTGACATTGTGATCACCTCATTTATTTTCCTCTCCAGTCAGTCGTTTGGTGTAGTCTCATGTCATAGTATTGTTTTAAATTATTGTTTATTGTCCATAACCTATAACTTATTTCTATATGCTTTATTGTTATCTGTGGATGTGTTAATTTCGTAGATGTTTTAGATACTGATAAGTGCTTCTTGACTTAAAAATAGTGGTTTTCTTTTACGGATTTCAACTCCATCTCATCTTTCAGGCCTTGCTTTGTGAGGGCATATAGACTATTCGTATTCCTTATTTTGTTTATCAATGGTTTTCTGGATTTCTTATAGTGTGCGTCTTTTTTATTAGTAATTTGAATTTCTAATTCTACTTTATAGTTTGGGAATTCGATTGTTCTGTTGTTCGTTATACCCTTTAAGTCACTGATGGTTAGTAATATGCTTATTTGTCTAATTTAATATGCCTTGTCCATGGAATGGTGCTTGTTGACGCTCTTGCATCTTAATATCTGTAATTTACATTTCATGACCTTTGATATTTTGTATGGTTTGTGTCATGGTCATTGGGTTAACTCTCTTACATTGAGTACTGAATATGTTCTTTGTACTGGAGCATTTGATCACACTGGCAAGCAATATTCGTCTCCAGAGGAAATGAAGAAGGTAATTGTTTATCGTCTGCTTTGGTTGTTGCATTAATCTTGTTTGGTTTGATATTGTTTATTTTGTTCAGGTCTCATATGTTTCATTTATAACGAGTAATGTGGTTTTATTTTTTTGCATAGCGATACTTTAGTATCAAAAGAGAACAAATTCGGTACGCCTTTCACTAATTTTAAGGATTCAGGCCTGCCACTCAGGCATTTGTTTTTATCTTTGACATTAATGTTGGGGAGGACAAGATCTGTTTTCTTTGAGAAATGTACCTTTGAATCTCTGTTATTGCATTGTTTTTCAATTGGGAACTGCAAAGTCTTGACCTTTGATTGAACAATCTTATGCTGGAATACTAGTTTTGAAGTAGTGTATACTATGGATTTTACGGTGCTGATTCTTTCAGAACTCACCAAAGCTTGAAGACAGATTTTTTGAAGCTTTTCTTTTGAGAGTTTTAATAACATTGATTACCACATGTCAGTGGTGATAACCTCTCCTGATATATGCTCTCTCTCTCTCTCTCTCTCTCTCTCTCTCTCTCTCTCTCCCCACCACTTTTTCCCATCCATGAAACTAATTATATTTTCAATTTCTGACATATAGGCAGCTTTGGAAAGATATAACAAAATGAAAGGCAATGCCCCTGAAAGATTGGTTTCTGGATCTGATGATTTTACTATGTTTCTATGGGAACCTTCTGTCAGCAAACAACCTAAAACTCGCATGACAGGTCACTAACAGGTAAAATATTTTTGAATGCTATGCTCGGTTGTTAACTGTAGTCCAAGTTCCTGATAATTTTTGTTTGGATTGCAATGCTGTTACTCTAACAAATGCTACCTTAATTTTTCAATTTGTGTTTCTGTATCAATGTGCTTATGAGTTTTTTTTTTTTTGAGAAGAAACAAACATTTTATAAAAGAACAGAGAAATACACAGAAGTGGATAAGAAATCCACCAAGAACAAAAACAAGAAAATCTCTCAAGAGGATCTGGCTACAACAACAAAACCTAAACCTAAATCACTTTACTGCTGCTAACATATCCCACAGTAACTGAGAAAGAGAGTAATTTTTAAAATCATTTGAAACTGAAGCCCAGAGGGCTGCCCAGAATCTTACTCTTCCCCAAAGTACTTCTACCCCCACACCGGTATAATCCTCAAAAATTCTTTTGTTACGCTCCAACCAAATGTTCCAAAAAACTGCCGAAACCAGACACCCCACAAAGCTTTAGCTTTCCTTCCAATTCCTAGGGCCTCAAAATTGGTGCTTAGAAGCTCGAAACAACCCTTTGGAATGACCCAACTAACTCTAACCTCCTAAAACAATTTCCACCACAGTTGAATCGAGTAAGAACAATGGAGAAAATGTGGTTTACACTCTCCTTAGCTTTGCACAAACTGCACCAATGGGGGGATAAGCAAATAAAAGGGCTTCTCCTTTGAATGTGGTCACAAGTGTTGAGCTTCCCATTAGCCACAAGCCAGACAAAAACTTTAACAAGATCTTGTTTGTCAGCTTACCTGAGCTTCTTTCGTTAATGAAGGCTTACTTAAGTTCCATTCCTCTTTTTGGGGTGTCAAATTTTAGCTTTAGGCGTGGTCTGACAGTTACATTTTCTTTGTTTGTAAATCATAATGGTCCATCCTCCTAACTCTCCTGTGGTGAGTTACTATACAATCATTGAGAGTTAAGCTACTCGGGCCATGAATTTAGGATTCCATCCTTTGAAAAGATTTCAATGATGAACCGTCAACTTTTAACCTCCTGAGAAGAACGTTATCCTTGATGCTCACTTATTCAGTGCTTCATCCCAGTTCCCATTCCACACACGTAAAGTTGAGTCTTTAAACTGCATTTTATGTGAATTTAGTTGGTTAAATGAAAGGCAAATCTTACATTGTTTTAGAGCATTTCCTGCAGGGTCTGCAGCTATCTATACGTTATTATGTTTTAAAATTCAAGCCAGTTGTGAGAGCTTGTTTGGTAACATATTTCTGTTTTTTTTTTGGGCAAACATATTTTCATTATTATGAACACGAAGCTGTTTTCTGAGGAACCAAACAAGCAATTTCTTTTATTCCTCACCGCCTCTTACTACAACTAAAAAAATGTCATGCCAATCAGCAGACTATTGATTTCATCTTTAGTTCTGCAAGTTAATTATGATCAATTTTCCAATTTTCATCTTTCAGTCACATGTTTTATTTCATAGTGGATGAACTGATGCAATTTTGAGTTGCCAAAATACGCACAATGCATCTACGTTGCAGCACAAGCCTTAAAACTTAGAGCTATAATTACTGTAGTTGGGAGTTTTTTTCATTTAAGCTTTATAATGGATCTATGAAAATGTTTTCTTGGTATCAGCTTGTAAACCACATCTGCTTTTCACCTGATGGGCAATGGATAGCAAGTGCCTCATTTGATAGGTCTGTCAAGTTATGGAACGGTACTACAGGAAAATTTGTTGCAGCATTCCGAGGCCATGTTGGCCCTGTCTACCAGATCAGGTCTGAATTGATATCAATTCTTTCTGTTTTTCGAATGCTTATGTTGTATGGCTAATTATTACATGTTGCCTCACAGCTGGTCGGCAGACAGTAGGCTACTTTTAAGTGGCAGCAAAGATTCAACTCTCAAGGTAAACCATTTACTGGTTATGAACTTTTTATTGTTTGGTGGTGATAAGGATTCCTATTAAAAAGAGTGAGATTGTAAGATTTCACATTGCATTAGAAACACATCATGAAACGTAATGTGGTGTAAGTGGAAAAAATAATTGACATGTGGTTTCTTCATATTTTGATAATTCTACATGTCACGAAAAGAATAATCTCAAATTTTACTAATGGTTTAAATCCCAGTTCTGGTAAACTAGATATAAGTTTCCATATGACGTTCAAATAACTTGAGTTTGTATACCAACCCCTATCAACCCCTGATATTGTTTTCATCGTCCACAAAATAAAGTGTTATCTTTTAATTTCTGTTAATGATTTCACCACTATAAGGCAGATTATTAGCTTTGACCTGGTAGTTTGTGGTTATGTACATTGGTATAACCTTGATTTCTATTTTTAGTTTCCTGATTACTGAATATTTCCATCACGTATGAACACCAATTTTTGAGCAACTAACTTCAGATTCCTTACACTTGTTTTGTTATTGTGTACCTTTGCCTGCGCTATGCCCATTTTGGTTGTGGTGGAGTTTTTTGGGATTGATTTTTTTCTTTCAATCATATAGGTTTGGGATATCAGGGCACGGGCGCTAAAACAAGACCTTCCAGGCCATGCAGATGAGGTATATATTTTCCCTTCACCTCAACTGTACTGATACACTTGGTTTAAAAAAAAAAAAAATTGGTTTAAAAAAACTGTACTGATACACTGTTTCGTTTACTGAAGCATGCTTGGAGGAGGATGGAAACATAGAGATATAGGAAGATTCCCAAAAACAGATACCAATTCCAAACTGTAGGAAGACATCAACTAAATCAATTGACCCTAACGTACAGCAATGCATGTGTACTTAAGCAAGTCTTCTAATTGTACTCCTCTGAATATTCACAAAGACAAGTTGGGCTACTTTGAGGGAACCCAAGGCCTCCAGAGTTTTATTGTCTGGTGGCCTTTATATTCATTCCACCTGTTATATAAGGACACAGCAGTTAATGCTGCGAATGAAGGAAGACAAATGCACCCATGATAAGATTTATGCAGAGAGTATACATGCCCTCGTTATATTGATCCATGGTAAGACCCATTTTTGAATGTTGAATTTGTTTTTGAAAGGTTTTTGCTGTCGATTGGAGTCCAGATGGTGGGAAGGTTGCTTCTGGTGGTAAGGATAGAGTTCTGAAGCTATGGATGGGCTAGATTAATGGTAGGCCATAGTACGAGCAACTACATGATTGAAATACACAATGGTAGTAATTGTGCATTGAAGTATTTGGCACCGTATACATAATGTATACTATACGACTACGGGGATATGAACAAGGATTTGGGAATCTAAGTATCAGTCACAAGAAAGGTTGACATGAAAAGCTCCTAAATCAGAATTAAAGTTTTTGATGCATTGGGTGCAAGCATTCTGCGTGGTCGAGCATTTTCGGAGCTGTCTGATGTGGAATAGCAGGGCAGTTAAGTTTTCTTCATTAGAGTTGTGCCATAAAGTAGTTTTATATATTTCTTTCCTGAACTAATATTTGTTTTTGGTTATATTGGAGGGAAACGAACCCTGAACTAATATTTTACGTTAGTACTCTGGAAATGTATACCTGCAGCTGATTCCGGTCTTCTGCTGTCATGCCAATATATGCTTATATCATTTCTTAGCTCTCATGCTGGATTCGATGGTCGTTTTTGTTGAAATAATAACCCTCGCTAAAACTGAAAAATAAAAAGAAAGTGCAATTAGTAATTACATGCAACATGAATTTTGTTGTTTCTTAGCACATACGCATCAAGAGTATTAGGTGCGGGAGATTTGAAAGGGATAAGGTGGCGGCGACTGTAAGAAGGCTTTTGCAGTGAGGAGAAAGGGTGGGCTGGATTGGTTTTTTGCGGGGCTTTGGTGGCTGTGTAGCCTGTCACGGTGGGAAATCTAGAACTTGGCTGCTGTTCTGTGGTGGAGATGATGCCGGAATAATTTGAAGACAATAGGGCCTCACTGTCGCCGGCAAATTTTACCGTCGAGCAACTAGATATGATGGACTTGAGACTGGGGGCTCCGGCAAATTGAATAATAGGAAAACTAATGAAAAGGGCTTGAAAACTTTGAGTTTTAATGATAAGGACAAAATAAAGGGTAAAGTGAATAGTATCAGGATTGACTTTTTAGTGTAAAAATATGGTTTTTCGTTAAAATGAACAGTACCAGGTGCTTTTCGTTAAAATTCCCAATAATAATTATATACCCCGCACTTACTCATATCCGTTAAATACCCTAATTTTCATCTCAAAATTTGTCCTATTTGGTGCAGTTACTCGCGGGAAGCGATTTTGACGGTTAAATTGCCATCCGTACAATTTTCCAAAACACTTTGTATCAACATTGAAGCAGTTAATGTCATAGATGTAGTTGTTAGTATGTAAGTTGTTGAGCTGATTAGTACACATTACAAGATTGTTATGTGTGTCATGTCTCAGCTCATAGGCTGAGCTATTGTGTAAAATTGTGGTGTGTTGATCAAGTCTCATAGGGCTTATCATTTGACAAGTGTTTTGATCTTAAGATAGGTTGTAATGGTTGGTTGAGATTGAATTGAGGTTATGTCTCTCTCTCTCATCTTTGTCATCAGTTAAATTGTCTCTTCGGGTTGTTATGCCCTGTATGAAATATACTGATAGAAACTGAAAGGTTATGCTCTGTGTGTGTGCTCTCTCTGATTTCATCTTCTAAATCTTTCTAAATATCTCTCTCAAATCCTGTTAGACTTATTTTGTATAGTTGTGTTACTGGATTCCAACAGTAGTCATGTAGTCGATACCAGGAATTACAAAGTCGTTTTAAAAAGCTTGGCAGCTCAAGATGTGAAAAAGCTCAAGTGACTTCAACTTAAGTATTTGAACAATGAGGTAAACCAAAATACATTCAGTAGATATATGTGGTATTTTTTTCTCAATACAAATCGAAAGCTGCACATTCTCCGCTCGCTTCCACAATTTAGTGTCTTGAAGAATGGTGGATACAAATCGAAAAGCGAGAGAGAGAAAAGCGATAATTTGCAGTGCGGATAAGAACATAATCGTATGAATCTCGCATTATATTTTTTTCGAGATGGGCGTTTCTGAAATCAGGGCTGCTAATTAAAGTGTTCCAAGATTTGCAGACACATCTGAACCGTAAAAGAGATTTCACAGGTAATCTTACAAGGATTTCAAACAAGATTTCTTCTGGGATATGTTTTCTTCTTCGTCTTCTTTCATAAGTCAAACATATTGAAGCTAAACAAAAGGCCTAATTACCAGAACATGCAAAGCATTCTGAAATGACAATTCCACACACCATTTCCAGAAACCCAAATCAAGAAAAGCTCATGAAACACGCAACAGTTCTTGGATGATCCAGTTGAACAACGTAATCAGATAAATGCCCGAGAAGTAATTAAATCATACCTCAAGTATATATGCCTATGGAGTTTCGATTCGAAACCCTAACTGTTACTTGTTAATCACTCAAGCAAATGCGGGCATCCAAGAGACGTTGAATGATGGAATCCACGTTCAGACACAAAGAACCACGAATCCCATTTCTTGGTTTTCAGGAGCTGATCGGCTTCACCGTCTTCCCTTGGTGGCTTCCTCAACATTCAACCTTTGGTTGCCTCTTCGTTCTCGCAGGGTCTTTTCCTTTGAATTTTGTATCAGTTATCTGCTTGCCTTGGTTGCTGAATCGGACCGGTCCGTAATAGCTTTGAGTTGGCCATATCAGCTTATATATAGTTAATACTCATTTGTGTACTATTTGTTCGGTTAATGGAGCTCTTGGAACCTAAATTTGTGAAATTTCACTTATTTGAGTCTAAAGCCAAATTATGAGATTTTGAGATATTATTGTGTATTTAGGCTAAATGAAAATTAAGATATTTTTAGTTGCATTAGGTGGCACATGTTTTGGGGCGTGACTTTATGCCAAACTAATTGTTATTTGTATATGTTTGCAATTCATTCCATTGTTGGTGGATTTGGGGAGGTAGAATGCTTAGCAAGTGGCTCTTTAGTTTTCTACTAGCTAGTAATGCCCGCGCGTTGCTGCGGGATTACAAATTCCAAGAATAACAAATTTGTAAGGGCAAGTACCTAATTGAAAGCCTTCTGGAAGCAGTACAACACCTTTTGGAACCTTTGCCTCATTCTGGTCCAGAGAGCATAATTAATGTGCAAGCAATTTAAACATTTCTCAGCACCATAGCATCATATTTCCTAGGATTAATCAACAATGGCTCCTCTAGCTTTGAAATAGCAGCTGGGCAAACAAACACAAATCCGCATTTACAGATTTTCACTTCACTCCCAAATAAATAATTAATAAAAATAACATGGAGAATTTCTACGTCTAAATAATTAATAAAAAAAAGATATTTCGGGGAAATTCAAAGTCAGCACCTTGAGTTAGCTTCTTTGATTCTAGTACATTCCAAAACTGAGACAGATTGCTCTCCATTTCCTCTCATAAAACAGACGTGATGTTTCTATTTTTTGATCAACCAAAGCATAGTCAACATCTTTTATAGTCACTTAGATTGCATCTCCTTACATGATTGAAAAATCAATTGAATCACAATTAAAATTTGTTAACAAAATTTTTAAATCATATATCCAATCTCACAGAGAAATCACAATCAAACAGTTGTTATTTGGCGGAGAAACTTAAAATCCAAAAATGCACCTTAATGTCCTAGAGAGAACAGAATTGCAAGCAAAAGTAGAATATTGAAACAATACCATGATAATCACGAAATAAGTTTATGGGTTTGCTAATATTGATTTATTAGGTTCCAACTTTGTCTCAATTTATCATTTTCTGTTAAAAACATTTAGGCACTTACCAAGAAAAAAACAATTAATTATTTGATGCTACTTACAAAACCAATTGGTATATATAGGCTTTGATTAAAAGGTTAAGTATTTACCAAAAGATTCAAGCTGCAAAAATGCATATAAGCCAATAATTTTATCCACTGTGATTATTTGTATGATCTGCATTTATTTAGAATTCATAAATGCATGAAAAGGTTTATAGGAACTTAAAAATTTTAGAACAATGAAAAACTATGCATGTATTGTGAACTCTATGTACAGAGCTTTTACATGGCCAAAAGAAAACAAAATAATCAGTAAGAGCTCTTACATGCACATATCAACAAAGAAAATTCATCAGCATTTTCTTACCCTTTCTTTCACAAAATCTTGTCTTCCAACCAGATCCTGCTATCTAATCCACACCTTGTCATGTACATGAAAATACACTCCAAATGTAAATTTCAAAGTTGTAATTTAAAATCATCATGCTAAGATAGGCAATCCAAGATAATGCTACTCTTTAGTCTGGATTTTAAGTCTTCAAATCAGAAACATTTCTGGAACGAATAAAATGATCTAGGACCATCATTCAAATAGAAACTCTTGGCCCTTCATTTGATTAGATAGTGCTCTAAATTAAAACCTAGCAATCAATTCGCAAGCCAGTCAAAGTAAAATCTAAAGCAACCCACTTTAAATTTATAAGCCAACAATCCAACATTAATAACAAAAAAGAACGATGCAAAAAGCAGAACTCATACGAAAAGACATTGAACAATAGCTTAAATCCAAAGCAACAAAGATTAATCTAATAACAAAAACCAATAAAAAAGGACAGAGTTTAGCGACTGACCTTGAAATTAATCCAAAAAAAAAAATTGAAATAATCAAATTCCAAACCAATCTCATAATTCTGCAATGGAGAAGAAAATAGTAGAGATATTAACATAGATTTTTTGGTTTGTATAGTTGGGAACACTTTGCAGAACTGGAGAAAAACGTGTACCTGATCAATTTGTACTGCCCTATCCGGTGGATTCTATCTTATGGTTGCCTCTCAACAGCTGCGTTCCACCACGGGTCGATTAAGAAAACCTATTCTAAAATGCAACGTCTTTAAATCACTTAATCCCCTTATGTATAACTTAATTCTCAATAATTTAGACATGAAAACACAATTTAAAAATTGTGACAGAACACATTACTCACATGCGATGCAATTGTTAGATGAAGAGCAACTCCTCTTTCAAGCTCATTAAGAACATGATGCAATCTGGATCCTCATTTAATCTCTTGCAGACATAGTCATGCTTCCAAACAACTGAACACAATTGATACCAAATTGCAACAATTTCTTTAAATTAGTCACAATAATCTATTGATGCACAAATAGAAAATTGTTGTATATATTTAGTATCACCTTTTGTAAGGAGTAGTTAATGATATCCAAGAACGATGACATATCATGGGTTAAACTATCTATGAGTTGAAAAAACTAAAGCGCATTGTACAAAGCAAATGAAACAGCTAAAAAGCAAATGAAATAACTAAGTTACCATTCTTTGTCTTAAGCAGCAAAACTCCCATTCCATCAGGTACCTTTCCACTTCTTCATATCCTCTGCAACAAAATAAACTATATCAACATCAAAGTGATACTCACCAATTGAAGTCCACATGATACAAAGCCTCGGTCAAAAAAGGGACAAAAAAAGTAGTTAATAAGAAACAATTTTGCTGCTATATAAACTGATGTATTGGTAATGGCATAGAATGCCTATAAAGCTACTTACAGTGCAACAAATTTCATTGCATATA